AAGTGTGTGGGGAAAACCAGCCAGAGCATCGGGCCCACGTGGCTTCCCCTGATGTAAGTTCTCAGCGCACAGCTCCCAACCCTGCTCTGAGCCTCACTTTCCTCAAATGCAAATGGAGATAAAGTTGCTGGTTCAGCCTTTCCCCCAGCTTGTTGGCTGGCCACACTCACCGCATGGCCAGCCCCTTGGAAAGACAAAGGAGCGTCCCCTCCTTTGGGGGTGTCCAGGCTGGGCACACTGGCACGGCTAGCTCCGGACGGCCAGCCAGCACAGGCTGAGTCCAGGGACAGCCCCGCACGTGGGGTCTGTGAGGAAGCCCAGAGCCGTGTCGGTGTGCTGGGACCAGGCCCTGCGGAATGGGGCTGCGAGGCACCCTGGGAGCCGGGGACGGTGACCAGCTCCGTCAGGGAGACTCCAGCCTGGGGCCACCTGAGCTGCCTGGCGACCCTGCTCAGAACCCATGAGGTTCAGCTGGCCTGCTGCCCACTCAGGCCAGGCCCCTCTCTTCTCCCAGGGGCCCTTCTCCTCACCCTCGTCCTCAGACAGGGGCGTGAGTGGGCAGGGGTCCCCAGCGTTCCCTGGCACGGCTTCCAAGCCACATCTCTCCCCACCCCCACCGCCAGCCACACTTGTCCCCCCTGTCCCTTCATGCCAGAGGCTCTGTGGGGAAGGAGTGACTGGCAGCTCTCCAAGGACACCTGGCTCTGAACCTGCTGTTTCGTCGGCTTGGAGCACTTCCGCCATATCCCACGCCCCGGGCTCGGCTAAAGCTCCGGCCATTCTTCTTGATCACCCAGGACAGGGTGGGTTTCAGGGACCCTGGACGCGCCTCTGCAGCCCCTGGGTTCACCCCAGCAGAGGACTCATCACTACCTGCTGGCTCGTTCTTCTCGGCCTCTGGGCCACACCACCTGGGGGCAGGAACCCTGCCAGCCCTGCACCCTCGGCTCCCTGCATAGCAGGCATGCCACACCGTTGTTGAACAGCCGGGAGAACTGTGGGATCCAGAATCCAGCAGCTCTGGGCCCTGGCTCTGCCACTTCCTGGCTGTGTGACCTCGGGCAAGTTGCTGACCTTCTCCGAGCCTGGCTACTCACCCACAAACCTGACTTACACAGTCACTGCAGCACTTCCCGAATACGGCACACGGTGAGCGCTCAGCAAATGTATTTTAAAGTGCTCCAGCCCCTGCCTGGCACACAGTAGGTGCTCAGTACCTGTAAAGATGCTGCGGGGGCTCCAAGGGCCGCTCATCTGGCTGGGCCTCTGGTCTCTCCTGGGAACTGGAGCTCTGTGACAGGCCCCAGCCCCTGGCCAGTGCCACCAGCTGCCAGAGCAGACCAAGAGGCTGCCCTCTTGCCTCGCAGAGCCGAGGCCCCTGGGCTGCTCTGGGCTCCCCGGGGCGAGGGGGAGAGGGGGTCATTACCATGATTAACATGTCGTTTCTCATCAGACACCACCTCCCAGTACTTCTCCGTGGCTCTTAACACTGTTCCAAACTCCTGCCTTTTCTATTTCTGACTCTTTCTCTTGTTGGATTGCTCTGGCTTTGCCCTTAATAAATCTCATTTTACGCTTCTAATTAACTCAGACAAAGTCGCTCGGTTTTAATATCATGTAAATTATTAGCCATTCTGTCCGTTTACTGGTATCTGCCAAAGTTCACGCATGGATTTGCCAGCCTGTCCCCTGTCAGAAATCCACGAGCTTCGTGGAGGCGGCCCCCAGCCCGGGTCCCGGGAGCCAAACCCAGCGCCAGCCTCGAGGGCGCCTCTCGGGGAGCAAGCAAAGCATGGGGGCGGGCCTGCGAGCGTGTGAGCGCGTGTGTGGCAGGCTGCTGGCCTCAAAGGAAGGGGCGCTGCGGTTGGGACGAGTGAGTGGGGGAGGACAGGGAGGGGGCCGCCCCAAAAAAGGCCACGTAAGCCGAGAGTCTGGGTCCTGTGGAGCGGTGGGGAAGGTGGGGGGGGGAGGCCATGCCAGGGCCCCTCAAAGGCGATACTACAACCACGGACAGGGGCTTCCCTGGTGGCGCAGTGGTTAAGAATCCGCCTGCCAGTGCAGCGGACACGGGTTTGAGCCCTGGTCCAGGAAGATCCCACATGCCGCGGAGCAACTAAGCGCGTGCGCCACAACTGCTGAGACTGCACTCTAGAGCCCGTGCTCCGCGACAAGAAAAGCCACCGCAATGAGAAGCCCGCGCACCGCAGCGAACAGTAGCCCCCGCTCGCGGCAACTAGACAAAGCCCACGGGCAGCAACAAAGACCCAAGGCAGACAAAAATAAAATAAATAATTTTTTTTAAAAAAATAGAACTTCATTTAAAAAAAAAAAACACGGGCAGAGGAGCCGGTTATGAAATCCAGATATTCAAAGAAATCAAAGGGGAGAGTGTCTCTGAGGGACAGCAGGAGGCAAGGCAAGGCACCAGCGCCCGGGGTTTCAAGTGCTTAAAAGGAATTTACTATTTTTAAATAGCTTAACATTTACTGAGCATTTAGCACGTGCCAGGCACTGTTTTAACTACTTTACAGAGAATAATTAACATCCTTAACACCCCTGTGAAGGTAGGCATGGTGATTTTCCAACAGCTTTACTGAGATATAACTCACGCACTCATCACCCACTCGGAGCGCGTAATTCGAAGGTGTTTAGTACCTGTCCAGAGGTGTGCGCCACCACCAACAGTCAATTTTAGAACATTTTCATCACCCCAGAAAGCACGCCTGCACTCCTCGGCCATCACCCCATTCCCCCACCCCTCCCAGCCCTGCTCACCACGTTTCACATAAATGGAATCTCACACTCTGGGGCCTTGTGTGGAGGGCTTTTTTCACTGAGCACCACATTTTCAGATTCATCCAGGCTGAAGCACGTATCAGGACCTCAGCCCCTTTTTATTTGCTGAATAATATTCCTCTGTGTGAACAGACCACATTTTATCATCTGTTCATTGGCTGATGGACATTGGGGTTCTTTCCACCTTTTGGCTGCTGTGAACATGTGTTTCCCTTTGTTGTGGGCAAATAGCAAGGAGTGGAATTGCTGGGTCGTAGGGTAATTCCGTGTTTAACCATTTGAACTGCTGGACTGCTTGAAAACGAATCGATTTTGAAGATAAGAGAAAGGAAACAAGAATGGTGCTTTAGGGCACGCGTCTGTGCTGTGTCTGGTCGGTGCCGGGAAACTGGGATTTGTTTGTCTCATTCATTTCTGTGTCCTCTGGCACCAAAGGGCCCTGTCATGGACGAGTGAGTGAATGAATGAATGAGGTGACCCGAGGGACCTGGGAGAAGAGGAAACAGACAATAGAGGGGAGAAGTCTTGGTTTCCCAGTCCTGAAGCCGAGCTCGGCTTGGGCACTGCCCGAGCCCACGTGCACTCAGGTGGGACCTGGAGGAGACCCCGCCGAGGGGCTCTCAGCAGTTGTTTCCTGTCGCCCGCCCACCCCGGGCCTCGGCTTTGCTCCGGGATATCGCAGCCCAGAAGCCCCTCCTTCGGCTAAGTCACTGTCTTCCAGCCTCTCACTTTGACAACACCTCCCCACGCTGTCTGAGAGGCTGTAACAGCCTGTTAAACAACATAATGAGAGGAATAAAACCCACTGAGACGTGACCCAGCACGGCACACAAAACCTGAGGCTGCCGCGGGCGGCCTAGAGGGGTTTCGTGGGGGACGGAAGTGCGTGGCAAAGATACCACAGCCGGGACGCGGCGCCGGGGGTGGGGGGGCCTGGCGGGGGCGGAGACGGCAGAGCCGGCAGAGCCGGGGCGGGGCCGGTGCCTGGGGGCGGGACGGGGCGGGGCCGGGCCGGGCCGGGGTGGGCAGTCCTCGGAGGGACCTCCCCGTCCTCTGCCTCGCAGAGGATGGGAAGCGCCCGGCTCTCCGGCTGCAACTCCTGCCTCCGGGGCCGCGGGACTGTGCTCTCAGGTGTTACACGCTGGGCCCTGGGCCCAGCCTCCTCTTGTCAACCACCCTCGCAGCCGGCAGCTTAGGCGGCTTGGGGAGGCCCCGCTCGGCCCCGCGCCCCCTCGGCCCGCGTCTATGATGCAGCAGGCCTCCTCTCGGCTGCCTGCCCCTCTGCACTACCTGCCTGAGTCCCGCTCCTGGGCAATCCGTGTGCGTCAGTGTAGCACACGGTCTTTCCCACCATCGATATTCCTGGACCACCTGCTCTTCCAGAACCTTCCCATGAAGGGGTGGGGTCACCTGTGGCCCCTCTTTCAGCCTGGGCAGGCCTCCGATCGCCCTATGGATAGAGTGCAGCTGAGAGATGCTCTCGGTCAGCGCGGCAGCTGTAACAAATACCACAGACCCGGCGGCGTACACAGCAGACATTTATTTCCTCTCAGCTCTGGAGGCCGAAGATCCAGGTGTGGGCAGGGTGGTTCTTCCCGAGGCCTCTCTCCTTGGCTTGCAGACGGCCGTCTTCTGCCGTGTCCTCACGTGGTCGTCCCTCCGTGTGTGTCTGTGTCCTACTCTCCCCTTCTTATTAGGACACCTGTCAGACTGGATTAGGACCCACACACACGACCTCATTTTACCTGAACTCTCTCTTTAAAGACCCCGTTCTCCACAATTGCATCCTGAGCTACTAGGGGTTAGGACGCCGGCGCACGAATTTGGAGGGGGCACAATTGCGTTCATAACAGATGCTGTCTGACGTCTGAGGCTGGTATCATAACAGGCGATGAGCCTGCCGCCAGAACACAGGGGTGGCGCAGTGGGGGCCGGGGGGAGGCCCACGTGGAGGGGAACCAAGGCCTCTGGCCCTCTGCCAGCACCCCCTGCCAGCCACGTGAGTGCACCATCTTGCAAGGCATCCTCCTATCGGGACCTGCCTTCCACGGGACTGGTTCTGTGCCAGGCTCTCTACCTACACTGGCTCCTAGCGCAGCCACAGCAGGCCTGTGAGGCGGGAGACACAACTGTCCCCGTTCTGCAGGGGAGAGACTGGAGGCTCAGAGAGGGCAGGCCCCTTGCTCACGCCAGAGCAGGGCCCGGGAAAGGCCGAGCCCACGCTGGTCTTAACCACTCTTGGCCAAGCATTGAATCGTGCCGCCTCAGCCTGGACAATGCTCCCCTGGCCCCAACTGGCGGGTTCCACACCTGGGCAGGTACAGGTCCAGTAGCCAGTAAACATCCCCAAGGAGTGGCGGGAAAAAATTACAAAAGTTACAAGATGACACAGCCTCCAGGAGCCCCAGGCAATGGGCTGTCGGCCCCTCATTGGCTGTTGGCCTGTGTCACCCTGGGCAGCAAGGAGGGTGGGACCCTGAGAGGTGGTGGCTTTGGGTTGCCTTGGATCTTTCCGCAAGGTTGAGGTGGGTCCCAAGGACGTTGGAGAATCCTGGCACCAGGAAGGGCTCAGGGCCAGACCCCCAGCACCCCCCTCTCCCTCCCTGTGGGACCTTGTGGGTCTACGTGGCTGGGAGGGCGGGTGTCACAGGGGGGCTCTGGGGGTGTGCGCCCACCCCCACCTCTCTGCATTTGCTTCACGTTTTACTCCTCTCTCCGCATGGCTTCCCCCACCCCATCTCTCTTCTTTCTCTGCAAATGGACATCAGATTTCCCAGACCCCATGGGAATAAAGCTGCCCCGCAGCCACCTGCTGGGACTGATCTGCTACCCCAACTGCTGATGCGATTGGTCTAGCTTAAGTCAGGTGACCGGCCCTGGTCCAATCGTCAGGGCCCAGATGGGTATGGGGCGGGATGGCAGGGAAGACGTGACAGCTGGGCTCACCCTAAAACCACAGCCCGCATCAGTGTCAGCTCGGTGCCTGGACTAGACCTACCGCTCCTGCAGCCACGTCCCCTGCCCAACCTCCCACAGCAATTGGCACAGAACCGGTCACATGTGGCTTCTCCCTGGATGTCAACCAGGTGGGCCAGCAGCGCACCTCGGCTGGAGGTGCGGTGTCCAGAAGCAGGAAAGTCATGGGACTCTTGGCCGGTTGGTCAGAAAAAGGAACCTTCTGCTTGGTTCTGAGTGCCTGACTTTAGGGACACTGGCAGATCAGAACACCCCCAGGGACAGGATGGGAGGACCCGGACACCAGCTTAGGACACACGGTTGAGGAACTGGAGGTGGTCAGCAGAAGGGGAGGATGACACCAGACAGGAGGGGGCGGTGATCTGTACATCTTCAGAGGGCAGAGCACAATCGACGAACAGATCTGACCCGACACTGGAGAGACTTTCCCACAGCCAACCCGACCAGCATTAGATGTGGCTGCCCTCGAGGTGGTGAGCTCTCCATCACTGGTGGTATTCAAGCAGCAACAGGATAGCTGTGGGTCAGGAACATCGTACAGGGTGAGCAGTTGGCCCCCCACGCTCCCGCAGCTCTTCTCATCTGATGGCCGCCATCCAGGGCTGGCTCTGGGGAGAGAGCATCTCTTTCTCTCTAAAAATGAATCCTCACTTCTCATCATTTCTGTCATGTTGAGTCCTACAGGAACAGCTGTTAAGAAATCACATTTGTACCTTCTCAGGAGCTCTCTTGAACTTGGAGTGCAAATTAACTTCATGTGATCTGAAACATAAAAGGTCACTTCTCCCACAGATTAAAAGCTGGGGGCTGCTTGCCAAGCTGGTGAGCGTATCAGGTCCTGCGGGGACGTCTGCGGGGAGGGCCGGGCATCCACGCTGCTGCCACGTGCACGAGGACGGCTCCGCATCGTCCTCTCTCAAGGCCGTCTGCCCCGGTCACAACGTCCGCCCAGGCTGCGGCCTCTCCATCCCTGACGGCCCTTCCCTACTGATCTGCGGCCTCCGGGACTTCCAAGTGTACCGAACACCCACACGGGCGCGCGGAGCCAGGACCCTGTCCTGCTCATCTTCCTGGCTTCTTCCTGCCTATGTTGTGTCAGAAGTGGGCAGGGCACAGCCGAGGGGCCTTCAGTCTCCCCACGCTGCACCAGGGCGGAAGCCCCCAAGTTCTCTTGTGTCCCCACACCCAAAGCCCCTTGGACGCCAGAGGTCCTGGCTACTCCCCCCGACCCCCTCCCCACCTCCCTGCCTCTCCACCGTCACCAGGACCAGAACTCCCCTTTACCGTACCCCATCCAGGATTCTCGCGCCCTCGCTCCCCAGCCAGGCTCAAGGACATCACTGCCAGCCCTGGCGTTGAAATGCTAAACGGGAGTCAAGGGAACCGAGAGGCTGTTCTCACTCACAGAGCCTGGCCGTCCCAACCGCTCCCCTCGCTGTGAGCTGGCTCTGCACCCTGGGCTGACCTTTCCTTCACCTGTCTGTCCTCCCCACCCAGGGGCCTCCAGGCAGCTCAGGGCTCAGCCCCAGAGGTGGGAGGCATCAAGGGAACATGAAAGGATGATTGTTTTGCTAGTGTCAGGATGTTGTGCCAGTACACATGAGCAGGACTGCGGGGGAGCTCACGTGGCTGGAACACGGTGGGAGGCGGAAGTGAGCTGGGCCGTGGCCTCGTGGCTAAGCATTCGGGCTCAGGTTGGAGAGTCTGCCTCGTGGGCCTCAGTTCTGTCATCCGTAAAAAGGTGAGCGTAGCCCCACGCCTGGTACCCACTGAGTGCCTGATGCGGGGTGCGGTGTGAGGGAGGAGGCCAGGGCGGGGCATGGACGCCTTTGGAGGGTCTGGAGGAGACTAGAAAGCGTGGGGCCACACCTTTGGGAAGGGCCTGTGTCCTGTGTTCTCAGCCAGCTCCCTGTCACAGGTGGAAGGGGAGCATGGGCTCCCCAGCCAGTGCCCATGTGGGCTGGGGGCCACTTAGGGACAGAAGCTCACAGATTGGTTCATTTCCAATAGAGACTGCACCATGACCACATGGGGTCCCTACAGGCTTTCTAGAACCTCCAAATTGGTCTTAATTTCAAATCCCAATTACTTGCTCTTAAGGAAGAAATTGGAAGATGTAGCTGGGTCCAGGAGGATGGGTTCAGGGGACAGTCAGAGAGGTCAGTCCTGCCTGATAAGGCCCCTGGTTGCAGCCAGCCTTGGAAACAGCGGTCCAGCAGCTGCCCGCCATCACCTCATTGTAGGGGCTGCTCTGGTGAGGGGACCAGGGAGAGGTGGCCTACCCTTCCAAGGTGGAGACTCACCCCCCTCAACTGACCAGACTGGGAGTGGCCATCCGTGGAGGACTTGGGGTACAGCTGAGGGACATGGAAGCCTGGGTGGTCCTCATCCCCGGGATGGGACGTGGCTTAGACCAAAGCCCCGTCTAAAGACAGGCAGGAGGAACCCAGGGGGTGTAGTCTGCACGGGGCCACGGAAAAGGCGGAGGGATCGGAGAGCAAAGGAGCACAGGAAAAGTCGGCCAATCCCTAACGAGCCAGCGCTCTTGTTCTGGTCCCTCAGCTGAACTGAAGCCCTGACCGGGGTGGAGAAGGCTGCTGCTACTGCTGTCTCATCATCACTGCCGTCATCACAGGCATCACCATCGTCATCACTGCCACCATTACCTCCATCATCACCATAAACATCATCGTCATCTCCACCACCACCATCACTATCACCTCTATCATCACCATCATCGTCACCCTCATCATCACCGTCATCCCCATCACCGTCACAGTCACCACCATTATCAGCTCATGGTCTGCGCACACTCGTTGTCCCTAGGCCTATGCACACGCTGGCTCCTCCTTCCAGAACTCTCTACACAGCTTCACCTGGAGAAGAGCTACTCACTCATTAGGTCCAAGCTGGGAGAGCTCTTCATGGACCTTTCCCCTGAGAACCCACCCCCTGTTCTGGGCACCCACAGCCCCTCCTTCCCCATCACAGCACTGAGCGCACTAGATTGGAGCTGCTTGTTGAACGTCTGTCCCTTCAGCGAGGAGGTAAGCTCCTGGAAGGCAGCCGTGCGCACTCGCGCTCCCCAGCCCTGGAGAAGCCTCGCTCCGTAACGGGTCAACGATCAGCCACTAAGTACCCTGATGGGCTGTGTCCCTCCTCGGACCAGGCGGGCCCTGGGCCAGTGTTTCACATGCACGATTTCTACCTCCTAGAGCACCTCAGAGTTCAGGCCTTGCCTACAAGGACGCTGCCGTTCAGAGACAGGGACCGACTCACCCGGGGGTGCGCAGCGCCTCGGAGGCCGCGCCAGGATGGGAGGCCAGGCGGCCCTCGCCCCGGACGCAGCGCTGCGGCTCGTTCCGCGAGGCTCCGGTTCCCAGTTCTTGACTGGGCTCCGGTCTGCATGGCCTTCCCAGCGTCACTCCAGAGCCTCCCTTGCTGATCGCTGCTCCGCAGAATCCCACCCCGCACGCCCACAAGCTTGGCACAAACAGCCGTCAGCGCTGCCAGCGTGGCAGCACCATCATCAGAGCCCTTCCCGGGAGCCCTGGACCAGCACGCCCCACCCTGGCCTCCGACGGGGACCCTCAGCCACGGCCCCCTGCTCACCAGACGTCCACTCCAGTCCTGCCACCAACCAAGGTGCTGGACCACCCTGCGGCCGGCTTGAGAGTTCCCTGACCCCCGGCACTCTGCTAAGTCAGGACTAACCAGGACCGGCCCCTGCAACCTGGGGCCTGCAAAACCGTCCTTCAGCAGCACCCTCCCAACAGTCCCGAGACCAGGCCTAACCCCTTCTCCGTGTGTTTGGGGCGCGTGGCCGGGCAGGCCCATCCCCAAGCACCCATCAGGCCATGAAGGCCTGGACAGCCCTGGCTTTCTGAATCTTGGGTTGTAGGGGCCACACACACCGTGCACACACACGTCCACACACGAGGCACACGGCAGCCAGGCAGAAGGCCCCCGGGTCTTTGCATCTGACACCTACTTAGCCTGCCCTGGTCCACCCCGAGGACGGCCCGCCGCCCGGCCACTCTGCTTCCCCAAATCTGCTCATCCGACATCAAGGGCTCCCAAGGGGAGAGAAACCCGGGGAACATAATGAATCCGGAGAACCTGCATTATTAGTTCAACCTTCTGGCTGAACTGGAGTTCACACCAGAGAGTCAGCCTGGCAAGGCAGCAGGGTGCCAGCAGTTTCTCTCGGATTTGGGGGAATCAGGATGGGAAGGGGTCCCAGAGGCCAAGTAACTGATGAGAAATGGAGGTCCGGGGCGGGGGGTCGTCCAGCATCACGCAGCCTCTTCTCAAATCCCCCCGGGGATGTAGCAGAAGCAGAGGGACACAGCCCTCAAGGTTGGCAAACGGCTTCCTTGCAGGAGGGCACGAGACCTCAGCACAGAACTGGGCTCCATCCCCAGTACAGCACGGCCGGAGGGACAGGGGCTGGGGGGACAGGGCCGCTCACCCCTTCTCCCCACGTGTCTGACGTCTGCCCCACTGCCTTGTGAACAATGCCCCCACCAGGAGCTTCCCGTAACCAGGGCTGTGTTTCTCTCAGCTGATACAGGAAGCGAATATTGCAGCCTAGAGGCATTTGGGGATTAGAATGCTTTAATTAATTTTTAGTGATCAATGTTCGCGAGGCCTTTTGGAGATGAAAGTCCCGCGGCCCCCACTGTGTGACCCCGCTAATGGAATAATAATCTGTATGATGGGCTAAAAACACACAGCCCAACCCCTCAGGGTCTGTGGGAAGCGCAGAGCTGCTTCCTGTCAGTGACGAGTGATACTGTCATCCGAGGAGAGAGGCTTGTCTGTGTCTTCACGGCCCTCCCCCAGGACTCAGGCCTGTTCCAGCCGGGGCGGGCAGGTGTCCTGGATGAGGAGACGCCGGTGGGGGCCGGGGGAGGGGACAGTGCAGTGAGGGGCCCTGCACCTGCCCCACCCCACCTGCTGGCCCAGGACACAGCTGCTCAGCGAATGGCAGCCTCCCATCTCACCTGTGTCCCCACCCCGCATCGTCAGGCCCTCACACAGCTGATTCCTCGTCTCCATCCCCATGGCCTGCTCGCCTCCCCGCTGCCCCAGCCCAAATGTCCCTTCATCTCCCTTCATCAGGGACTCCCCAGGCCTGCAACCCAAGCCGGCGGCCCCGTTATTCCTCCCACAAGGCTCAGCCCCTGGAGCACACATTACGGACCTGTCGTTTCCTGTTTGTTCCCTCTCCTGCTAAACGGTGGCCTTTGTGATCATGTCACCACCATATCCCCACGCCCAGCAGAGCTCCCTCCCTGTACTGATGTGCGCTGGCTGCTTGGATGGGAGGGAGGGAAGGAGGGAGGAAACAGCACCCTCGGCCTGGGGCTCCGGCCCTCTTGCTGCAGGGCGGGAGGGGGACCCTGGACCATCTCAGAAAGGCAGGAACTGGCGGAATAGCAGCGGGGGTGCCTCTGGGCTTGGGGTCTGCAGTCAATCAGGCCTCTTCTCCTGTGCGGCCCTCTGCCAGCCCTGCTAGGTGACAGCTTCCCCAGGCCCGGAGGTGCCCAGTCCGCCTGGGCTCTGGCCTTGTTCCCAGTCTCCGGAGGGCTCCTGCCTCCGCCCCGCCAGCACTCGGCCTGACCAACAGGTCCTGCTGCCCTCCTGATAACGTCCTGGGTGCCGCTGCAGGTGAGCAGAGCCCCCTGAGGCCGAGGGCTCTGACGAGCTGCACGGAGGACGGAGGACGGGACCCAGCCCCAGCCGTGGCTTCCGCTCCTTCACGGGACATCGAGCTTCCCTACCACCTGCTCTGCCAGTGCTGTGCCCCTGCCAGGGGTGCCACCCCAAGGCCATGAGCCCTCTGCGCCATAGCTTCCTATCCACTGGTCTCCTCTTCCCAGCCGAACTGGAATCCCACCTCTGCTCATCACCGTCCAGCTGACCTGGGGCCAGCCACACGCCTTCCTGAGCCTGGTTCTCTGGGGACAATATGCGGACCGCAGGGGGTGTGGTCTTCAGTGTTCAACAAGATAATATCACCGGGGCACGAAGAGAGCTCCTGGCACGTGGAAGGTGCTGGAAAATGTTGGTCAAGCCTGACTAATCTTTCTAGTCCACGGTGCCTGGAAAGGGAGGACAGACAGACAGATCGGGCTGCCTTCTCTCCAGCTGAGAGCGTGGCTCGAGTCCCACCGTTTCCAGGCAAAGCCCTACAGGTTGCACCGGGAGCTGCCACCCTCCCCACGCACCCCCCGCCCCCCCGCCGTGGCCAGGTTCCTCCTCCAGAAGAAGAAGGAATGAGGCAGAGGAGGACGAGACATTGGAGAAGTTGGCAAGTTGCAAGGGAGCGAGTGGATTTCTGAGAACCCCAGGTGCAGCTTAACCTACAAATGAACAATTATGGTGATGAGAAAGAAGGAATATTTGGTGAGGCAGCCTTGGGGGAATGGGAACTCGGCTGACGTGCAAGGAAAGGCTCGGGGAGACGGCGCGGGCGGGATTCTGCTCGGGGAGCGGGGGGCAGGGAGCGACCGGAGGAAGGTGCCCCCCCGCCAGCCTCAGCCCTCCAGGTGCCAGGGCAGGACACCCACTGCTGGCCGGCGGGTCCAGCCTGGCTGACTTAGTCACCCCCCCGTACATCACGCCCTGAGCATACACCGAGCGCCTGTGGACGCTCCCGGTGCCGTTTTCTCAGGCCCCAGCGTCCCCACCCCCGCCAGAGTCAGGGGCTCCCGGCCCCAGCCCGTGGTGGTGGGGCATCACGCCCGGCACTCTCGTGGCCGGGACTCTGGGGGAGCTGCCTGCAGGTACGGCCACAGTGGTTCTCTCCACCAAGGAGCAGTCTGTTTCCCCTCCCTTGGGTCTGGGCCAGGCCCACGACACGCTTTGCCACTGGAATGGCGTGGGATTGATGTTACCCATTCCCAAGTTTGACGTGAGAAGGCCCTGGAAGGCTCCCCCGATCGGCCCTGTCCCAGTAGGGAAGCTGGTCCAGGCTTCCGAGGGCAGGGCCCCGGGAAGGGAGCTGGCCCAGCACCACGGCCTTGGGAGGGAGGATCCCGGGCTGCTGCCGCAGGTGGGTGAGCCCTGCTACACCACAGGGAACCGCCAGCCCTTCTCTGCCTGGTCTCTGGGAAGCCACCCGCCCCCAGCCCCAGCCCTGCCAACTTTGATCCATGTGGGCATAACCTTGGGCCCTTGGAGGCGAGTCTACGGCCCCTCTCATCACCCGCTGACAGAGCCAGGCAAGAGGCTTGCAGGAGTTCCCCGCTGAATTCTCTCTACATCCTGCGAGGGCGGCTGTGCTATTTCCCCCCATCTCCCAAGGGAGGACATTTGAGAGCTCAGGTCACAAAGCTCCTGGACGGCAGAGCCCAGACTCACACCCAGGCCACCTGTGTCCTCTGAAACCACACCCCCCTGGGCCAGACCTGAGGACCACAGCCCCGCCCTCTCCAGAGGCTTCCAGCCCCTGCTTTCACTTCTCAGGCCACTTTTGCTTCCCACCCATCCTCCCAGACCCCAGACAGCGGGCCCCCAGCTCCCCTTTCCCCCACCATCTGCCGTCGCTTCTGCTGCCTCCCTATTTGCTACGTGACCCAAAGTGTCCAGGCAACCCCTCTCTCTGCACAGCACAGCATGGTGGACCGAAGATGCCGCAAGTCCCTGCCCTCCTCCCGTTGATGTGGAGCCTGCACCCCCTCCCCTTAATCTGTGCGCTCAAGAGTGTATGGCGGGGGACCTTCCCTGGTGGTCCAGTGGTTAGGACTCCACGCTTCCACTTCAGGGGGCACGGATTGGATCCTTGACCAGGGAACTAAGATCCCACATGCCATGTGGCATGGCCACACACACACACAAAAAGAGCATACGGGGACTCGGACTCAGATACCTGTACACCCATGGTCACAGCACCATTATTCACCGTAGCCAAAAAGTGAAACCACCTCAAGTGGCCATCAGTGGATGAATGGATAATAAAATGTGGTCCATCCACACAATGGGATATGATTCAGCCTTAAAAAGGAAGGAAATTCTGATGCCTGCTACAGCATGGAGGAAACTGGAAGACATGAGGCTCAGTGATAAGCCAGCCACAGGACAAACACTGCCCCAGGTGGCCTCTCATCAACGCCATGTGGCGCAGAAGAACCGCCCACCCGAGCCCAGCCCGGATTCCTGACCCACAAAGTCATGAGCTATAGTAAAATCATTGTTGTATGGTTCGTCATACAGCAAACTGGAACACACGGTAAGTCAGACAGACCATCCAGATACCGACCCAGGACACGACTGACCCTTTCCTGGGGCCCAGAGCATGCGGGCAGCTGGGGATATTCAGGTGAGTTAGAAACAAACCCTTCCCTGGGGGGCTCACGGCCTGGTGGGACAGGAGCCTGATGAGGGGTGGGACCCAGCTGGAGAAAAGGAGGGAAGGCTTCTTGGTGTGCCTGCTTTGGGCTCTGACCCAGTCAAGACTCTCTGAGCCTCAGTTTTTCCATCTGGTGTCTCCTCCTGGTGACATGAGGACCATGAGACATCCCAGGAGGAGATGGTCCAGGACACAGACATTCACCAGCGCCTGATGGAGTTGGTGTAGAAATACCTCCAATACCTGGAGGGGGATGGCTTTGAGGGATGCTCCACAGTGCCGCCCAGGGCCCTGAGCAGGGGGGAGCCGCAGCCGTCCACAGGGCAACATGTACCCTTCCCTGACTCAGTCCCCCCTGCCCTGAGAGGGCCTCCCCATGACAGCACTCCTTCTCAGACCCTCCTCTCAGGGTTGGCTTCCAGGGAGATCCCCAAGTCTTTCCCAGAACAGCCCTGATGCTGTCTTGCACAGGGAGGTACAGGGATGGGTGTAGAAGCAGACAGGTCTGCAGTCAGTTCCTCAGTGGAGCAGCTGTGCAGCCCCGGACAAGCTCTCTAGAGAGGTCACCTAGCCTCTCTGAGCCTTAACAAATTGATGTCTTTAGATGGAGGGATTGGCTCTGGGTCAGTACCAGTCTCTTCCTCGTGTGGCCCTCAGCGGTGGTCCCTGCTCTGCCCCTGGTGCGCTGTGTGACCTTGGGGGCACTCCTTCCCCTCTCTGGGCCTCAGATTCCCCCAGGTTCAGGTAAGGGATCAGCCTAAGCTGCTGAGACCCACTGAGCTCTCAGAACACAGGGTATTTGCTTAGGAAATACCACCCAGGGGGACGCTTGGCTACGGCTCTGGTTCCTCTCCTGGAAGGGATGGAAGGACAAGCCCGCTGGTTCTGGGGTGCTGCTGGGTGGGGAGCGTGGGCAGGATCTTTCCCCCGGACGCTTTGCCCACCCTGCCCTGCTCTGGGCTCCTACGTCAGCGATGGGGAAGGACGGCCAGCACTCCAGCCCTCTTGGCAATCTCGGGGCACGGCAGGTACTCCTTGGCGGGCACCCCCACCCCTCGCTCGCCTCCGCTGACCTCAGTCGCTCTAGCCTGTGACCTGGGCCCTCCAGCTCCACCCAGAACTCTTTTATCCTGGGTGCCTGCTCTGTGCCAGAGAGCCTGCTGGCTGGGAGGGGGGCACCCGGAGAGCAGCCCTGTCACAGGGATGGGGCCTCCCACCTGCCCGCCCACGGCCCCAGGCACAAGCCCCAGAGTCGATGCCCAGGACGGGCTAGGAGGACACAGGACGGGGAAGAGGAACCAGCCGGCGTCTGACCCCGGGGCCGGAGAGCGGCAAACTGCCAGGTCTGCTCATCCAGGGCGGCCCCGCATCCATCCATCATTCCCAGCTGCCTGGAGAGAGAGCCCAGCTCTGGGCAGCGCGCTCTGCCGGCCCGCGGACCCCACCTGCCCTCCCTGTGACCTTGGCGCCAAGTGCACAAGTCGCAGGGGCTCGCAGACTAGGCAGCCCACCCCGGAGGCGGCAAGAGGGAAGACGGGTGTTCCCAGTTTGTGGATGGGAAAACTGAGGCTTGGGGAGGTGGATGCCTTTAGGGTCCTTCCGGGGGGATGACTGCAGGAGAGCAGGTCACCCAAACTCGTTTAGGAGTGACCATTTCCTGAGCAGAGCCACAGGTGGTCAACGCAGAGCATGGATCAGAACCTGGGTCTCTGGACCCTCAACGCAGTGCTCACCCCCCAAGCCAGGCTGCACCAGGGAACCAGCCCCCCAAGGCTGCCACGCCCTCCCTAGGCGGGAGAGGGCCTGGGTGCTCGGAGAAGGGGGGTCGGGGAGGGCAGGAGTGGCCGTCACCCTAATGAAGCCATCTCGCCACCGTAATGAAGACCTCACGTACCTCCAATGACACTCAGCAAATCCAGGCACAAATAAATAACCCTAGTCCAATTGAATCAACCTTCAACCGATTGGCACAGCTAAACAAATTAGCCCGAGGCCCGGACGACGTTAACAGACCAGGCAGGCGGGCGCAGGCTGGGATCCTTCGGCAGGCGGGTTCATGGCGTCTAATAAGCTGAAGCCAAATCCCCCGGCGTTCATGTCTCTGGTTTCAGGCCACTCTGCTCCCAGAGCGCAGGCTTTCAGGGGCCTCGGCCCTGGGGGCTGCGGAGGGAAACCAGACCCATGGCGGCGGGAGAGAAGCGGGTAGAGGGCAGGCCGCGAGCAGGGACGCCCTTCCGGTACAGGAGAGAAGGTGCAGGAGGCTGTTGCCGGACTGCCTCCTGGGGATGCAGCCAAGTCTGATGTGCAGCGGGGTGGGCAGGAGCTGGCGGCAGACCCACCCCCCTCCTCGCCCTGCAGTGCCACCCGCACCCAGACCCGGGCTCCCCAGGAGGGGCCTGCTCTGCAGGGCCTCGTCCCAGAGTGAGTTCCCCTGCCCCCAGCCCTGTGCAGGGGCGCTGGAGCCTCCCCGGACACGCGGCGGATGGAGAAGCCCCTCTAAGGGCCCGAGGCAACGCGAGGCCCAGCGTGTGGGCAACCGTAACAGTAAGGGGCAGGCCACTGCCAGTCTCCTCGCCAGCATCCCAGCCGCGCTCTGCAAAACCTGCTGTCCTCCCAGGACCAGGACACAGCCAGCCTGACGCTCGTTGTGGGGAGGGAAAGGCTTGGGCCTCGGCTCCTCCAGCGGCCACAGCGGGGCTCGGGGCTCCTGGCCAGCCGCGGAGGCGGGAGCGGGGAAGGTGAGCTGAGCGGGAACGCAGAGAGCTTGCCCCCCAGAGCGGGTGGCGGGGACATCGGGGGATCGCTGGTGACAGCTGACTGGCCGCCCAGGAGGGTTCAGCAGAACCACAATCTGGATGAATTAAAAAGCCCCCACTGTGTGCCCCCCACCCCCGAAGGTCTGACTTCTCTCACGCTGGAGGGTCGCCAGGACAGCCGGATGCCAAGAGCCAGGACGGAGGTATCCGCATGGCCCCGCTCGCCCCCAGCGTCCCGCGGGGAGGACGGACACGA